ACGGGCAGCACCTCGAGCAGCCGGGCGGCGCCGCGAGCTGCCATCACTCCGGCACGCTCACGCACAGGCCCGACTCCAAGGATGCCTGGGACACGCGCAGTCCAGGCCACATCGCCACTGGTCCCGTCAGGGGCTGCAGCGGCACAAGATTCAGACGGCGAGCTGTTAGCGGCGCTGCAAGAGTGCCTAGGCGACCTTCCACCCGTCGTGCTGGAGGAGATGGCCCACGGGGCTGAGGACTGGAGCATGGAGGATCTCTTCGGGGAGTCTCCCGACGAGGACGGAGCGGAGCTTCCAATGCACCCCGCCTCCGTCCACGGACCCCGTCACCTCAGTTCCGGCGAGGGAGCGGCGGATGAGATCATACTGATCTCGGACTCCGACGACGCCGAGCCGGCTTTTAGACCGCCGGGCACCCCGTATGAGGAGATCTTCGGGCCGAGTCCGTATATTACCGGCCGCCCACTCACGTCCTGCGCTGCCGCCGAAGTGCCACCGGAGGAAGCAGCGAACCGCGCCCCGCCGACGACACCAGGATGCCGCCGTCGCTCCACGCCGGGCAGAAGGGCCGTCGACGAGCAGAAGCTTCGCCTCGACGACCGACGAAGACTCCGCCGACGAGGGGCCAGCCGTGACGCACCGAGACGCCCCCCACTACCGACACCCGGCGAATACGAATGCAGTTAAACCGGGACGACCACGTCCGGGTCTTCCTACACCCCACCCGGAAGTGAGGAGGGCCGACTGGCCGTCACAAACCTGTAAAATATAATATACATAACTATAACTAAAATTAAGCTTAGAACTAATGGTAAAACTTAGATTAAGTACACACACACACACACCCACACATTCACACACGCACGAAGTTTGTTTACTCACAGTGATTAGACGTGTTTTTCCGAGCTCCAAAAGAAAAATATTGTAGACAGCTCGAAAGGCCCTAAAAAGGTGATATTACTACTTGTGAGACAACTGGGGAAAGGTACGTACCAGAATCGACCCCGGCTGGCTATCCGGGCTCCCCGAATCGAGGCACTTGGAACCGCCATTGGAACCCGTGGGCAGCGTCCAGCGAGCGGCTCTATTTCCCACGAACGCTCTCACAGCTTGGAATAGTTTCCACACGCCACTTTTTTCCCTCTCGTTTTTCTTTCTAGGCGCAACACACGATCAGCTGATCATAGTGTTGTGCAGCGCATGCGCAGCGAGCTTTCGCACCCGCGCAGTATTGGAAAACGCGAGCAGACAAATTCCCGCCATAGCCAGAACTTAAATTTGGATTTGAATTTGGATTTGAATTTGAATTTGGATTTTAAATTTTGAATTTTAAGTTTTGAATTTTAAATTTTGAATTTTAAGTTTTGAATTTTGAGTTTTGGGTTTTTAATTTTGAGTTTTGAATTTTAAATTTTGAATTTTAAATTTTGAATTTTAGGTTTTGAATTTTGAATTTTAAATTTTATATTTTGAATTTTAAATTTTAATTTTTAAATTTTGAATTTTAGGTTTTGAATTATAAATTTTAAATTTTGAATTTTGAATTTTGAACTTTAGGTTTTAAATTTTGAATTTTAAATTGTGACGAAGTCACAAAACCCTATGTAAATAGTGTATATATATAAGATAATTAATCCTAGAATTTAAGGTATTTAATAAGCTAGAATTAAGCACACACACTACACACTCACACACACATTTAGCGGCACGGAGCCGGAGTTACCTTGCCCAAGAAGGGCCAGATTAGATTTAAAATAAGACCGCGACGAACAAGCGTATACATTTTTCAAAGACGGACTGTAGCGACCGCGCTAAAGACATTTCCCCTCTCCGCTGCCGACGCGAACAGCGGCAGTGGCAGCGACATTTCCCCTCCGACGATCGTGCGTGTTTACGTTTTGATCGTGTTTATTTACATGCCGATCAAAACATAAGAAACACGATCAAAACGTAAACAAAAACAATAACAAAGCCGACGGCCGAAAGCTGCGCTGCCCGGACATTTTGGGCAGAGACGAGGCGACAAGGGCTTTGCAATTCTCGACCGCGATCACTTCTCTGGCAGCTGTGAACGCAATCGCTACACATCCCTCCCGCCGCGGGCGACGTCCTCAAGGACACGTGGGAAAGTTCCCCAAACGACTAAGTCCCAAAAAGGACACGCGAGTGCCTAAGGAGCCTTCGGCTGACGGACACGTGTCCTCGCCCACCGACAACAGCGGGTGAGCCGGCTGAGAGCCATGTCAGAGTAGCTTTTACTGGAGTGTGGTGTAGGCCAGGTTAGGGACGGCAGTCATAGTTTAGGAAAATGTAGACAATAATTAATTAATGTAATAAAGCACAGAAAATGAATTCAGAAATTCCATCGTCTTTCTCCCTCGCACCCGCATAAAAGTCCGCGTTGTTAAAAATAATTCCTTATCGTGACGCGCGCCAAAGTGTTACCCTCCCGCTCACTCACTCGCTGAGCTGGTGGCTGGGTTCTCCCGCACCAACTTCGCGTGGCCGCTGGGCAAGGTCCCGGCCAGAGCAGCGGGACGGGAGCGGGATTTGTCGCCGCTGGGTTCTCCCGGGCACAGATCTGGCGTGGGCATCGGGGCTGCTGGGTTTTCCCGAGCTACGAGTTCCTCGCCGCCGGCACGTGCTCAAAGATTTTCCCCTTTTCCCTCTCCCTTTCCCTTTCGATCTGCATTTTGCCCGCCATCGCCGCTGGGTCACCCCGGGCGGCGGAGATTTTGCCAATCGAAAGAGTCGCCGCTGCTGGGCAACTGAGCGGGCGCAGGAAACGGAGGAGCACCTGGCCATCGCCAGGGTGACCATTCTAGATTCCCATTTTTCTCCCGAAGCTAGATTTGCCTTTTAGGAACAAGCCCCTTTCGCTGCTATTATTTGCCCTAGAAAATTCATTAAAATTCGGCGTCCATATTCTGGCCGTCTCTAAAATATAAATATTTCTGGAGAGGAATCCTGGGCAGCTGAGGTTTACCCCGGCCTAAGACACATCCTTACAGATGGCGCCCGGAGCAGGGACCGGTCAGGACAGCTAGGATAATTTTTTCTCAGTGGATTAAAGCCCCACTGGCCGAAAACCAGAATTTTTTAGTGGAAAAATATATTAATATAAATTTTTCGCGAAGGCAAAAACAGGGAAATTTAGTTTTCTAAAGGACGAGGATAGAAAATTTAATCTCAGGAAATATATTTTAAATATATATTTTTCGATCAGGGCACATTCGTTTTTGCGAGTGTAAGAAATTTTCGTCCCACGTGTCGCGACGGCAAAAATCGGCAAAAGTACAGGAGAAAAGGGAATAGAAAAAACGCATGGTAAATTTCCATTGGTGCACACGGTGCATCTTCGCCAAAACAAGCGGTACAGTTAAGCCAGAAATCGTAGTCAACGTCACTGCCAGCGTCAACGCCGGCAGAGGGACGCTTCGAGCAAGCACACACACACGTGGCCCACACACATCTCCAGTTCCGCTCTGCCCGCGGCAGCAGCGTCGGCTAGCTTAAGCATTAATATATACAGGGGACCCTCGCTAGGAGGGACACACTTCGGAAGATCAGCTCATTAAATACACATCGCTCGCAGACACTTCGCAAGATCAGCCCTTTGAATACACATCGCTCGCAGTCTTTAAAACCCTCTTAAAACCATCGTTGAATACACATCGTCGCAGAACTTACACCTCGAAAGATCCACTCATCAAAACTCTTCGTCGTATCCTTGCACACCGGGAAGATTATCACTATCCTTTAACCCAGTTAAATCAAAGAATCCTGCGAGATCCTGCCGCCGAGAACATAATAACAAATTTCATAAAAAAAAAAAATAATTAATGCAAATAAATAAACGGAAACAATAAAAATTAAAATGAATCAATAAAAATTAAAATAATTCAATAAAATTAAAATAAATCGAAATAAAATAAATAAAATATAGGGCAGACCCTCCGACTGCGACCGAACGACCAGCGAAGACCAACAACAGAGCCACGCTCTGACCAGCGAAGACCAACAACAGAGCCACGCTCTGACCAGCGAAGACCAACAACAGAGCCACGCTCTGACCAGCGAAGACCAACAACAGAGCCACGCTCTGACCAGCGAAGACCAACAACAGAGCCACGCTCTGACCAGCGAAGACCAACGACAGAGCCACGCTCTGACCAGCGAAGACCAACGACAGAGCCACGCTCTGACCAGCGAAGGGAGCCACGCTCCAACCCACGGGACCAGCCCGCAGAGCCACGCTCTGACCAACGAAGCACATCGAAGGAGTCACACTCCAACCACCACGAAGAGCCACAAACGGCACACCATGCAGAGTCACACTCTGATCAGCGAAGGACGACAACGGAGTCACACTCCACCCACGCCGAGAAGCCACAGACGACAGCCCAAGGAGAGCCACGCTCTACCCATCGAGGGCAGCCAAGGGAGCCACGCTCCGAACTCGAAGACCAGCCAAGCACCTCGCCTCGAGCACAGTTTCGAGGCACAGCATCACCAGCGACGGAGAACCAGCCGCCCTGTTGGAGACAGGCTTTGCCCGTGGCAGATGCCACAGCCGCGCAACGGAATCCCTTCCGTACCTCCACAAAACGTGTCCGCTTCCAGGATCACGTCGAGGAAACGCCGGAGCCAAGCCCGCCCCTATGCGGAACCGTCAATTCGGTGAGTCATCCCACAGAGGATCAAGTCTCATTCCAGATAGAGGAATCCGTGACGCCGGATTACCCCGAGCCTTGGGTGAAGGAGTTCCTCGACCAGGAACTGGCCAAATTTGATACTCTCTCAGGGGTATCACACATCGCAGAGCATCGCATCTTCATGCGCACCGATCGACCCCTTAAATAGCGACAACCGCCTTCAGCCCGCCTACCACAAGGCACGACGAGCCACACGCTCCACAGATTCCGCCCCACCGAGGCCAACCAGACGATGGACGGACAAGGCCATCCGCCGACTCCCGCCCCGGCGCCACAGGACACTGCATGGATGTACGGTGCGGTCGACGAGCTCCTACAGGCGCTTCACGGCGACGGCCAAGCCAGCCGCTTCCCAGCGACAGCCTCGCCGACCCCTTCCGGCCACGGGCTCTACCCGTCGAGGACATCACCATCGACGCCGACGACATGGAGGAGGCGGACCCGGGCGACCGCTCCGGGCCCCGTCGGCCCTCTACCAAGGGGATGCCACCATTGGCGTCCCAGCACACCAGCCCCAGCGGGCCACGACCACTCCCTCGGGAAGTCGCCCACCACCGCGGCGATGACGAGGAAGGGGTGAACGCGGATGACCACGCCGAACTACGGCCATCATCTGCAAGGGGAATGCCGCCCCTAGTGCCCAGGCACATCGGCCCCATTGGGCCACAACGACTCCCTCCAGAAGTCGCCCACCGTGGCGACCGTGGCTGGATCTTCGCCGCTACAAGGCCGGGCCCCAGCCACCACCAGTCGCAGCCGATCTCCTCCGCCCGCGTACGAGGAGATATTTGGCCCAGGTCTCTACGCCGGCCCTCACGCTACCGCCCGATGCGCCGCAGAACCCCAAGACGCGATCCTCGACCACGCCTGCCCACCATCGCGGAACTGGCCGCAGAGGAGGCGCGCCGAAGAGCGGAGGACCTCAGCGAGGAACTCGGCAACCCACCGGTTGCCCAACCGCCAACGAATGGCCCACCATCACCGACCCCGCGCCGCCGAGCACGGCGCCGGAGCGCACCATGGGCAGACAGCCCGCCCAGCTTATCCGACGAATCGTCGTTGGACACCGACGAGGGAGCCCCCAATCCTCCCCGCTGGGTGCCTGCCCCAGCGGAGTGGACTACACCGAACGGCACGCTGCCGGCAGCCCTGATTCGCCGGATACAAGGACGCCTGGCGGTACCGAGACGACGGACGATCCGAATTCTGGAGGAGGAAGGGAACCAGCGTTCCCGAGTCCAGGTGAACCGGAGCGGAAGGGTTATCGTCACTCTCCAGCCCTCCCGAAGATAGGGTGGAGTGTGACGAAGTCACAAAACCCTATGTAAATAGTGTATATATATAAGATAATTAATCTTAGAATCCTCCCCGCTGGGTGCCTGCCCCAGCGGAGTGGACTACACCGAACGGCACGCTGCCGGCAGCCCTGATTCGCCGGATACACGGACGCCTGGCGGTACCGAGACGACGGACGATCCGAATTCTGGAGGAGGAAGGGAACCAGCGTTCCCGAGTCCAGGTGAACCGGAGCGGAAGGGTTATCGTCACTCTCCAGCCCTCCCGAAGATAGGGTGGAGTGTGACGAAGTCACAAAACCCTATGTAAATAGTGTATATATATAAGATAATTAATCCTAGAATTTAAGGTATTTAATAAGCTAGAATTAAGCACACACACTACACACTCACACACACATTTAGCAGCACGGAGCCGGAGTTACCTTGCCCAAGAAGGGCCAGATTAGATTTAAAATAAGACCGCGACGAACAAGCGTATACATTTTTCAAAGACGGACTGTAGCGACCGCGCTAAAGACATTTCCCCTCTCCGCTGCCGACGCGAACAGCGGCAGAGGCAGCGACATTTCCCCTCCGACGATCGTGCGTGTTTACGTTTTGATCGTGTTTATTTACGTGCCGATCAAAACATAAACAACACGATCAAAACGTAAACAAAAACAATAACAAAGCCGACGGCCGAAAGCTGCGCTGCCCGGACATTTTGGGCAGAGATGAGGCGACAAGGGCTTTGCAATTCTCGACCGCGATCACTTCTCTGGCAGCTGCGAACGCGATCGCTACACATCCCTCCCGCCGCGGGCGACGTCCTCAAGGACACGTGGGAAAGTTCCCCAAACGACTAAGTCCCAAAAAGGACACGCGAGTGCCTAAGGAGCCTTCGGCTGACGGACACGTGTCCTCGCCCACCGACAACAGCGGGTGAGCCGGCTGAGTGCCATGTCAGAGTAGCTCTGGAGTGTGGTGTAGGGCCAGGTTAGGGACGGCAGTCATAGTTTAGGAAAATGTAGACAATAATTAATTAATGTAATAAAGCACAGAAAATGAATTCAGAAATTCCATCGTCTTTCTCCCTCGCACCCGCATAAAAGTCCGCGTTGTTAAAAATAATTCCTTATCGTGACGCGCGCCAAAGTGTTACCCTCCCGCTCACTCACTCGCTGAGCTGGTGGCTGGGTTCTCCCACACCAACTTCGCGTGGCCGCTGGGCAAGCTCCGGGCCAGAGCAGCGGGACGGGAGCGGGATTTGTCGCCGCTGGGTTCTCCCGGGCACAGATCTGGCGTGGGCATCGGGGCTGCTGCTGCTCAAAGATTTTCCCCTTTTCCCTCTTCCTTTCCCTATCGATCTGCATTTTGCCCGCCATCGCCGCTGGGCCATCCCGGGCGGCGGAGATTTTGCCGATCGAAAGAGTCGCCGCTGCTGGGCAACCGAGCGGGCGCAGGAAACGGAGGAGCACCTGGCCATCGCCAGGGTGACCATTCTAGATTCCCATTTTTCTCCCGAAGTTAGATTTGCCTTTTAGGAACAAGCCCCTTTCGCTGCTATTATTTGCCCTAGAAAATTCATTAAAATTCGGTGTCCATGTTCTGGTCGTCTCTAAAATATAAATATTTCTGGAGAGGAATCCTGGGCCGCTGAGGTTTACCCCGGCCTAAGACACATCCTTACAAAATTATACATTTTGAATTTTGAATTTCGAGTTTTGAATTTATAATTTTGAATTTTGAATTTAAAGTTTGAATTTTGAATTTTAGGTTTTAAATTTTGAATTTTGAATTTTGAATTTTAAATTATAAATTTTGAATTTTGAATTTCGAGTTTTGAATTTTTAATTTTGAATTTTAAGTTTGAATTTGAGTTTAGGTTTGAATTTGGGTTTAGGTTTGGGTTTGGATTTGAATTCAAGTTTAAATCTAAATTTAAGACTTGATTTGATTTGGATCCAAGGTTTAAATCAAGCTTGGATTTGTGTTTAAATTAGGGCTTAGGAATTGTCATCCACATTCCGCAGTTGGCTCCGGTGGGGCTAAAGGCACCAAGGAACTCGCCATTTTCCAACCCCCCGCTGAGGGGCTCTGGGGACCGAGAAGGAGCGGTATAACTCCCATCAGGCATTCGCAGGGGGAAATCCCCGCGCACCGAGGGACCCCGCTAGGAGCAGGTGCGATGAGCGAGGAGAAGCTGCGATCAGGCCGGGACGACGAGACCCAGGCACTAGCAGTAATGAGAGCTGAGCAGGAGCTGATGCGGGACTTCCAGCGACTCAAGCAGAAGGTCCAGCACTCGCCTCCGGCCAGCGCGCCGGATATCCACCCGGTGTCAGCGCCGCCGAAAGTGAATCTGCCGGTTTTATGCTTTGGCGACATAAACGAAGAGCAGGCAACCCCGAAGCGAAGCTGGGACGCAGTAAGCTCTGACGGGAAGCAGGCCGAAGCCCACAAGAGGCAAAAGGTCGAAGCTAATGCCCCAGCGCTAGTCGAGAAGCTAGGAGCAATGCTCGAGGAAATGATTGCGAAGCTTACCGACACTAAGAGCAACAACAAGAAGGTAGTACGGCACGTCACGCAGGGGACGATCGATTCGATGCAAGCTATGAAGAAGCTGCAGCTCGAAATCATTGCCGCACTGACTGACGGCCACATCAAGGGATCCACTACGAGTGCAAGCCAGCAGACCACCCCCACGCTGACTACCATGAACCCTAGTGCTGTGCCTGAAAACAGACCGCGAAATGCGGCATGGCAGCAGGTCAAGGCTAAACCCAGACCTAAGAATGCAGAAGTCAAAGCTACGAGCGGCTATAACAATGGGAGCCGTGCAACTCACCCTGCAATGCCCAGGAAGCAGCGCGCCGACGCAATTATAATCAAATGTAGCGCAAGAACATACGCAGACATGCTCAAGATTGTCAAAACTGAGCCCTCTCTACAGGGACTCAAGGACAATGTGCAAGGATTGCGGAGGACAGCGAACGGTGGACTCCTCCTAAGAATGCAGAACGCCGCAGCTGCAAGCAGCCCTAAAGACTGCCATCTCCGGTAAAGCAGAGGTGGCGGTTATGCAGGAGACGGTCCAAGTGGAGATCCGCGACCTAGACGACATGACCAACGCGGAGGAGGTCACCATGGCCCTGTTTGCGGGAGAAGAGTGCGACATACCACGAGACGCCTCACCCAGGATGAGAAAAGGGTTCTGCGGAACGCAAATAGCGACGGTCAACCTCAGACCCGAGCATGCGCGGAGGTTGCTCGAAAAGGGCAGAATCCGGATAGGATGGGTCGTATGCCGTATCCGAGAAAAAACTGAGCCAAAGCGATGCTACAAATGTATGGGCTTCGGACACACCTCGACACGATGCCGAGCCTCCGACGCAACAGCTAAAGCCACACAGGAGTCATGCTTCAAATGTGGTGGCATGGGCCACAAGCACAATACGTGTCAAAACAAGCCCAAGTGCATCCTATGCCCCCGAGGAGGCAAGCACGCGAAGGAGGCAGAGCACGCTGCTATAAGCAGGACCTGCCCAGAATACCAGAGAGCCGCCAAGTATATGCAGAATGGTTAAGTTTCTCCAGCTTAACCTAAACCACTGCAGAGCAGCCCAAGACTTACTGTCGCAGACGGCGATCGAGCAGAGAATCGACATCGCCATACTGAGTGAACCCTACAAGGCAAAACCAGAAGGAGTATGGCAGCAAAGCGCGGATGGCGGGGCTGCCATCTGGAGCTGTCGACAGCCTCCGGAACACCTATCGCAGAGAGCTTCGAGACCTGGCTACGCCAGGGCCAAGTGCCAGGCGACTACAATATACAGCTGCTACCTTCCGCCGATTATGCACATAGATGCATTCAAGGATGTAATCCAGGAGATTGCCCAAGACGCTCGGGGACGATCCCCGGTAATAATTGCCGGGGATTTCAACGCGTGGTCCACCACGTGGGGGAGCACGGCAACAACTCAGAGGGGAACCGCCTTACTAGATGCCCTGGCGACCCTGGATGTCTGCCTTCTTAACGACGGAGGCAAATGCACATACAGCAAGGCAGGCCGAGAATCAATTATCGACGAGGTATCTGCGAGGATCAAGACAGCTTGCGATGCGGCAATGGAGAGCTCGACTAGAGGCCATGGAAGGCGACCAGTCCCCTGGTGGAACCAAGAGATAGCCACAGCCAGGAAAGAGTGCATCTCTGCGAGGCGCAGGTGCCAACGAAGCCGTGGACGGCCCATGCAGGAGCTATTTGAGGCTCGCTACAGGGAAAGGAAAAAAGCCTTAAAGGTGGCCATTAGAGCAAGCAAGCGGGAGTGCTTCCAGCAGCTGTGCGACGAGGCGGACCAGGAACCTTTTGGATCTGCCTACAAGCTCGTCATGGGTAAGCTCAACAGACAGCCGACCCCAACAGCCCAGGAGCAGCTTGGAGCGATAATCTCCACCCTCTTCCCTGCACAGCCGCCCCTAATGCCACCCAGTATAGCGGCGAGCGAAGCTATCATCATCAGCGAAGAGGAAGTCATGAGCGCGGTGGCCAGTAGCAAAACATCCAAGGCCCCGGGACCAGATGGCATCCCAAACGCGGCACTGCACGCCGTAATCAGAGCAAATACGAGCCTATTCACAGAGCTGTACAACAAGTGCATCGGCGAGCGTACCTTCCCGAGAGTTTGGAAGCAGCAAAGACTTGTGCTTATCCCGAAGCCTGGTAAACAGAACGACGATCCTTCCTCACACCGACCCCTCTGTATGCTAAACACATTGGGGAAGATATTTGAGCGCATCATCTGCAGCAGACTGGAGAGAGAAATCGAGGAACGTGGAGCACTCTCGGGCCACCAGCATGGGTTCCGAAAGAAGAGAAGCACAGTCGACGCGATCCGAGAAGTGACCCAGCTTGCAGCAAATGCGATCGAAGGCAAAAGATGGCAGGGTGGCTCTAAGCAATACTGCCTTGTATGTACCCTCGACGTCAAAAATGCATTTAATTCGGCAAGCCTA